GAGCAGAGCAAGAACTTCAGTGAACTTGAGAGCCTGGAAAACAAGCCTCTTGATACCACACTCTTTCCTGCAATTTAAGATTTCAAGATTAAATCAGTTAATCCATGGGAAAGCGCCAGTTAGGTTTCATATAAATGCGAATGCCATCATCATCTTTACCAACTCCTCCTGGGAAGAGTATCTTGGCCAATGACTGCAGTCTGGCCATGGAGCATGCTGGGAAGACTAGTCTTGCCATCTCAATCCACCCTGATAATGATGAGATACCCACCACTCTCGGAGATCCCTAAGGAGCCAGAGAGCGTTGAGTTGGGATAGTAAAGACAATCTCATCCAGGCCGAGTTTACAGACACAGAAACTGGAACCCAGAGCCGGTTAAGGTCAGAACACAATCCCAGGGCATAGCCAGAGCATAGGCAAGGCAGAGGTGGTAGCCTGGTCCACATGCCTCCCGAAAACATAGTTTTCTTAACTAAAGGGGCAGCGAGCCTCTAAAAGGCTCCGGGGAATACTCTCAGCCCCCACCCGCCCAGCAAAGCGTTATAAGCCATTAACCAGAAAAGAGCATGTGACAGAATTCCACCTCAGCTTAGAATGCTTGGGTGAGTGGCCAGAGATTCATAAATAGACACTTCAGCTCTTTCTCAAAAAATCATTAACCAGCTCCTTCAAGACTTTGACGAGCAACCCAAGAGAAAGAGCTCGGGGGAGACATTCCTTGAAGAGATTTTCCCGGCCCACCTCCAGGGTTTCTACACACTTGTTAGTTCCCTGAGAGCTGGAGGAAGAAGATCACTATGTCAAATGTTAATTCAAAAAAATAATAATTGTGGAAATTTACAAACTGTTTCCATCACGCAAGGTACATTTCTAAAGAATTTAACAGGGCGAGTCTGTAGTGTTGGTGCGTGCAGGTGCACACGTGTGTGCTAAAGGGTGTGTGCGCATGTGCAGGCCACGGGACAGCCTCCGGGGGCATTCCTCAAATGCTGCTCACCTTTTTTTCCCCTTTGGATCTATGAATAGGCTAGGCTGGCCAGCCAGTGCACAGGGTGCTAGGCTGGCTGGCCAGTGCGCAGGGTGCAGGGCTCCTCCCCTTGCGTTCTCCCTACCGCTGGAATTACAGATGTATACCACCAGGACCTGATTATTTTTCCCCCATGGGTTCTGGAGATGGAGCTCAGATCCCTGTGCTTCTATCACACAAGCCATAACCACCTAAGCCATGCCTTGCCTGGTGTGTTGTGTGTGTGTTTGTATTTAATCTTTTGGGTGTGTATGAGTGTGGGTGTGCACCAAGGCATTTGTGTGGAGGTCAGAGGATAACTTGTGGGGGTCTGTTTCTGAGTTCCAGGGATGGGACTCAGGTTGCCAGACTTCGTAGTGTCAGATGAACCATTTGACTGGCCTTGAACTCACACACCTACCTATCTCTGCTTCCCCGGGGGCTGGAAGTACGGTGTGCACCACCAAATGATGTCCAGCCCTGATTTTTTTTTTCTTTTGGTTTTTTGAGACAGGGTTTCTCTGTATAGCCCTGGCTGTCCTGGAACTCATTCTGTAGACCAGGCTGGCCTCGAACTCAGAAATCCGCCTGCCTCTACCTCCCAAGTGCTGGGATTAAAGGCGTGCACCACCACTGCCTGGCATTAGCCCTTATTTTTAATGTCAGAGTCTCTGTAGCCCAGATTGCCCTGAATTTAGGCAATCCACCTGCCTCACTCTCCTGAGTTCTGGCATTACAAGTGTTGAGCCAGCAAGCCAGGCTGACTGTTTATAACTCCAAAGACCACGTTGGGAAAGGATAAGGTGAAACTGTAACCCTTGCCAAGGAGTCTCGGGGGTGGGATGGCCGTGTGTGGGTGTGGAGCTCCGGTGACCCACTCCAGACTCACGATCTGAGGCGCCTGTAATTTATGGAGCCCGGTCAGGCTGTTACCTTACTTATCTCTCAACCCACTGAGCACAGCTTCTCACAGTTTCTCAGGCTTCTTGTCAGTCTGGATCAGCTCTGGCTTGAGGATTTGGGGGCAGGGAGAGGAGATGGGGAGAAAGGAGGTCACCGGTCAGTCTCTAAACCAAAGAGGCAGGAGTCAAGAGTTAATCTGCACTGTTTCTTGGGTCTTCAGGCTTCTTAAGCAAAACTGACAAGGCTCCCCTCCCCCACACCACCTTTATCAAACACAAACTATTTTCTACACTCCCTCCTTACACAGCCCTGGCTCGCAGCAGATCTGCCTGAGAGATCCAGGAAGCTCTGGCCTGGCCCTCCCTTCGAGAAAGGAAAGTTCAGGTAGTGAGGGATGCCACACCCTGGGGGTGGGGGTGGGGGTGGGGGGGAGGGCGGATGTGACGGCAGCTCCAGGAATGCAGGGCCCACGCAGGTGCATTGGCACCCATGAGTTTCCTCCTCAAAACAGCTGATAAAGTAGTCTCGATAACAGTAATAGCAGCCACCCAACCATCATCCACATAGACTTGGGGCCACAGGTCCACAGTTCTCAAGGTGTGACCTGTTCAGGGCAGAGACAGGAGAAAGCTGAGATTGGAGGTCCTATGCTTCCCAGCACATCATTAAAGAGTGGCCTACAGGGTCACTGACACCCGGAAACCTCGCTAGGGGAATTTCCAAAGTCACAGTTTTCTCATGAAGGCGTCCACTTCTCACCTTCCTTGTCTCAGAAGCAAGTGATGGAGTTTTCCAACAAGAGACATGACAGAGGATGATGTCATCTTTAACTGCTTGGAATACATATTGTGTATTGTTTTAAACGGGTTTCTGTTTTAGTTCCAATACAGTAAATACCCATAGGCATTCACAAACTTGGAGGTTCCCTGTAATGTTTAGCTAAAGGGGTCCTAGGACCCAAAGAGCTGTAACTGCTGGCTGCTGCCATTGAACAAGGTTCCAGGGCTGTGGCTAGCCCCTCACGACCATGCTTCTTCTTTTCACCACACAAGTATAGGTCAGGAAGGCAGCCTTGTGATTCAGCTTGGGAATAGTCTTTCTCTCTCCTGCGCTTCCACCCCAAAGTGGCCAGAGAAACCTTAAATCGCCTCCCCACATCTGGTGAACTGATTCATTTAAGGGAAAAAGGGTTTCTCATCTTTGAAGGTATAGGGTGTAGCCTGGAGAAGCCATAGACTCGGCTCCTCTGTCCCCAAATACATACTTGAGAGCATGCCATGCCAAGAGACTGGCTCTCCCAACGTGAACAACTGAGCAAAGCAGGCGTATCCCACCATTGGGTAGCTTTCAGTGTACATAGAGGAAAGCTGTTCAAAGTGCACATGCACGAAGGAAAATACACACAGCAGAAAGGGGAAAGGCACAGATGTTAGATTCCGTGGTACAAGGGGAGAGGGTGGACAGGAGCTAAGCCCCCTGATCAGCAAGCTCTTCAGCCCTCAGCCCTCTGTGGGGTAAGGGACGGGGTAAGGAGGGACAAAGAAGGTCCCTTCCTCCTAGCATCAGTAAGGCCAACGGGTGAACAAAAGAGATGCAGCAGCCCCAGTGTGGGGTGCTCAGAGATTAGGAATTGGTGTTGTGTTACCCTGGGACACAGTTCTGTCACTGGGGGAAAAGAACACAACCCAGAGCCTGGCGTTGGTACAAACAACAAACTGCCAAGAAATTGCTCCACGGAGAGAGGACTTCAGCCCTAGAGGGCAGCTAGTGAGGCCTGCAGGGAGCCAGGGCCTGTGGGGACCAAGGCAGGCCTCAGCTCCCTGGTCCTCTCCTGATACCCAGGGCACCCTCGGGACAGGGAAGATCTAGAGCACTGGTTCTCAATCTTCCTAATGCTGTGACCTCACACTGTGATGACCTCCAATCATAAAATTATTTTCCTAGCTACTTAACTGTAATTTTGCTACTGTTATGAACCGTGATGTAAAATATCTGTGTTTTCCAATGGTCTTAGGTGACCCCTGCGAAAGGATCGTCCTGGGGGTTGGAGCCTACAGGTTGAGAAGCACCGATCTAGAGGAAAAGTGCAGTTTCCTCGCATGAAATCAGCCCGAGAGCCCCCCACTCCAACCAGCCTCTTCCTCTAGTGACTGCCACAGAGGCGGGAAAACTTGAATCTTTCAACAAGACTTTCAGGGGGCCGCCTAGAAGCCGCAGCATGGGGGCCCGGGACGCAGAGGGGCCCCGGAAGCCCAGTCACCCCACACCATCACGGCAAGGGAACGGCCGTGCACACATTCCAAGCCGGTGACTAGGGCGCGTTAAAGATACGGGTGCTCCCGACCCGACCCAGCAGGCGAGAACGCTCGCGCGCATGCGCAAAAAAACACACCCTCCTGAACTGCAGTCCAGGTGCGCTCGCGCTTCCGGCCGGCCTTCCCCCTCGCCTTCTCGGGGCGGAAACTCTACAGCCGGCGCATGCGTCGTGCTGCTCCCCAGCTCAGTCCAGAGAGGCCCCAGAGCTTCAGGTGATCCCGCCCCTCCTTCGCAAGGCAGAACCAATCGCGAGGCTGTGGGCGGGGCTACCCAGACACGACGCCCGCCCACGGGCCGCGCGAGCCCCGCAGGCTGCGTGCCGATTGGCTGTCGCCGCGGGCGCAGGTGCGCGCTTCCTATTGGGTGTGGGCGGAGCGCGAGCCGCCGCCGCCGAGGCTGCAGGTGAGCGCGCGCACGTGCCGCGGCTGCGGCCCTGCTCGGTGCACGAGCACCGGGCCTCGCGCGTGCCCGCGGGGAGGCAGCCGAGGAGAGAGGCTGCGGCGGCTGTGGGATTGTGCTCCGCCCTCTCCTCACCGCGGCCGCCGCCGCCCCCGAGCCTCACTGGGAGGGACCCGTGTCCCCGCCTGCTGCACTGGCAGTCCGACCCTCAGGCCGCCGCGGAGCAGCCGGCACAGCGCTGCGCGGACCTCAGCAGGTGCCGTGACGAGGCGCCGTGCGGCGCTTTCGAGTCCCGAGCCCGCGCTCCGCGGCCCCGCTGCCCGCGCTCCCGAGGGCCGGCCCCCGACGAGGCCGCCGCTGGCCGGGCGCTCAGCATGAACCGCGGCCACCGGCACGGGGTGAGCAGCGGCTGCCTGGGCACCATGGAGGTGAAGAGCAAGGTGCGCGGCCGGGCGGGGCGGCGGGGACGAGGGCTGGTTGGGATGGTAGAGGCGGGCTGCCCGGTGAGGACGCAGGGTGGCGGGATGGTGGACCTCGGCTGCCCCTGTGGGAACGCGGGCGGAGGGCGATCTGCTGGCCGAAGCACGTAGGAGAGAAACTTGGTGGAGCGCTGCGACGGGAAGCGTTTGCGTCTGCTCCGCAGCAAAGCCCCTGTTTTCTATCCTTCGTATTCCCGCCTTGCTTTAAGGGTGAGATGGGGACCGCTCCAGTGCAAGGTGATGGGATAGCTTTGGGGGACGCCTTCACCCCGGGCACGAGTCAGAGGCTTTCGGAGCACCTTGTAGTCTTCTCGTGTAACCTTTTCTTGGGGTTTGGGGGGTACCTCGAATGGAGGAGGGCTCTTTTTCCAGCTCTAACTTTGGTATGCGTCTAATCTATGAAATTAGCACCATCGCCTTACTCTGGTGCTGCGCTTGACAATTTGAGACGCTGCTACCCTTTTCATTCCGACTCTTCATTCCGAGTGCTTTCCCCCTTGGCGGGTCTGCCAGTCTTCTGTTAGTGATTTCAGGATTTCAGTGTCCGTGGAATTCCTCAGTCCCAAGGCCGGGTGAGCAGAGTAGCCTGTGGGGATTAGCTGGAGAATGCCTTCTTCCCAAAAGGGGCTTTTCAGATGGAATTTGAAGGCAATCTGTAGCCACGGGAACATGTCGGCAAGCTTCTCCTGACGTTGAAAGGCCAGGAGGAACAGGATTATATAGCCTGGTTCTCTGAGAGTTCTAAGATGACAAGAAGACCTGCTCTGAAAGGGTGTGACTTCCCCCTAACCCTGCTCTAGGACCAGAGCTTGCCGATGGCTTTTTACTGAGCGACTTGTAAAACAGTGGTAGGGGCATTGCTGACCGTGAGAATTTAGGACAAAATGTGGCAAGACACATAGAAGGAGCAGTGTATCGAACACCGCTGTAAAAATAAGAAGTGTGGTGGTTAAGGGACTCCTGGGGGAATGTCGCTCTCGGGAATGGGGTGAGTGGGGAAAGCTGCCTGGAGCCTTTGTGTGTGGTTTCTGGGCGTGAGAGCAAAGTTTGTAACTAAGAATCACAGATCTACATTTGCTTTTAATGTTTTGGGTGTTTTTTGTTTTGTTTATAATCTCCTCTAACTATTGAGACTGGCGCTAGAGAGTTCCAGACCAGCCTGGCTTATATACAGTGAGACCCAGTCTTAATGAAGGGGTGGGAGGAATTTATATATCAGACTAGGTACTAGATTGAAACACACAGAGTTCTGTTTAATAATAACAGGACTCTTGGCGTTTATGAGTGTGCACTGCTCTTGCAGGACACCCAAGTTCAGTTCTCAGCACCTCCTGTCAAGCAACACACACCTGTCACTTACTGTAGATTTACTATTTTATGTGTATGTGCGTGCCTGCATGTATGTCTGTGTACCACCTGTATGCCTGGTGCTCTAGGATGCCAGAATCCTAAGGGGGTGGGATCCTCTGGATCTGGAGTTAAAATATTGAACCACCTTGTGGGTGCTGGGACCCAAACCCAGAGCCTTTTGGACATTTAACCACTGAGCCTTTTCTCTAACTCCAGAAGATCTGATGTTCTGACTTCCCAGTGCAGAACACATGACATACATATACAGAGACACAGGTGTACACATAATTGTTTTAGAATAAAACTGTATGATAGTTTAAGGAACACACCCTTCCTGGCTGGGTTCTGCACAACAGCAAATAAAGTGACTTGTTAGTATAGGGAAATGACTCCAGAAATGGCTGTCTGTCTTTTTCTCTGGCCGTTTGTAGCTGTCAGCACTGGAACTTTCTCCTGGCATCTCTTTGTAGTTTGGCTTGTGGGACTTGAGGTGAGGAAAGAAAGCCACTTGTGAAGTTGCATAACAGCAACACTCAGTTTTATGGTCCAGGTCTTAGTAGTGAGTCTTTAAATTTTTTTTATCATTTAAAAAAAAATGAGTAGAGATTCTAGGTGTGCCAATAAGTCAGATAGGAGTGGGTCTGTGGTGGAAGGAGACCGAGCTCTTGTGGACTGGAATTTCAAGCTTTTTGTTTTCCTTCTCCGTCTACTGATTTTTGAATATTTTACATAGTTCTGTCCAAAGTGTGTGGTGTTTATTTCAGCTGCCATACCATACTTCTAGTGTGCGCCCTCCCCTAAACAGAAGCAGGGCGGTCAGAAGATACACTTGGGAAATGCTGCCCTGCAGTCTTGTCTGTTAATTAATGACAGCATAGGCCAGAGTATGTGGATCCTGCTTTGTGGGGTTTTGAAATTTTTTTCTTTTTTCTGTGTAGCCCTGACTATCCTAAAATATGTATATGTGTATGCCTGAGTACAGGTGCCTATGGAATCCAAAAGAGGGCGTCGCTCAATAGAGTGAAGTTACATGTGCTTATAAGCCACCAGACGTGGGTGGGAACTAAACTGGGGTCCTCTGGAAGAGCAGTGCGTGTTCTTTTGTTGTGGTTGTGGTGGTTGTTGTTTTTAAGACAGGATCTCTCTACATAGCCCTGGCTATTCTAGAACTCATTATATAGACCAAGCTAGTCTTGAGGTCACAGAGATGTGACTGCCTCTGCTGGGAGTAAAGGCATGTGTTGCTAGCCCTACCTTAGCTCAGGTTTGTAAAAAAAAAAAAAAAAAAAAAAAAAAAAAAACAAACTTTCATTTTATGCTATGTGAATGATAAAAATTCATTTAAGTTTTCATTACATTCTGATCATTTACTTGGTGTGCATGAGTGTATGGGGATTGTGAGTGTAGAGGTCAGAGGACAACTTTGGGAAGTTGGTCTCACCACCATGTGGGTCTTGGGTATTGGATTCAGGTTAGAAGGCTTGGCTGCAAGCACTTTCACCTACTGAACCGTCTGCTGGTCTAGTATCAGTTCTGTAAAATCACAGTAACAGTAGTGTCAGCCAGGGATGACACACACCTTTAACACAAGCATGTGGACACAGGCAGGAGGATCTCTGAGTTCCAGGCCAGCCTTGTCTATAGAGCGAGTTCCAGGTTTGCCAGGACTACACAGAGAAAACCCTATCTGTCTTGAAAAAAAAAAAGAAAAGAAAAAAGAAAGAAAGAAACAATAGTGTCAACTTTGTTATCTTTGCTCTGGGAAGGGAGACAGGGAATAGATAGTGGGCAGTGTAAATCAGGGTCTAGTTAGAAGTGTGATGCCAGCAGCTGGGCGATTTCTTTGGTAACTGATTTATCTTCCTGATTGTTTCTCCAGAAAATTCTCTGTAATCATTTTGATGTCCTTAGGTAACCTTGGTCTCAAGGGCAGGGGCTATAGTTGCTACAGTGGAGCTTGACCAGCATAGTCAGGCTGGTACATCTCCACCACCGCCAAGACACCTGCCCCCACAGCCTGAGAACAGTCCTGAGATGTACCACTTTCTAATTGCTACTCACGGACAAATGCAGTGTGAACAGTACTGCAAGTTCAAGGGCAGCTGAAGCAGCACAGGGGGAGCCTACCAAACAAACCACAATTAGGGCTGGAGAGATGCTTCAGGGTTAAGAGCTCAGACTGCTCTTCCGGAGGACCAGGGTCCATTTCCCTTCCCTCCAACAAACTTAAGTTCTAGAATATGCCAACAGATGCCAGGAAACAAGTGTATGTACATCTGGGTTCCAAACCAGAAAAATCACATGGTAGATAATTGTCGATTGGGTTCATTTGGTCTCTATCTAATTTTTCTTCATGTCTTAAAAAGTTCTTATACTTTGCAAGAGGTAACCCGTGCTCGCCTCTCGTTTTGCCGGTATTTGGGGCTGGGTGAGAGGGAGGGTGCAGTTGGCACAGTCTACTGTTAATATCTAAATATTTAAGCCAGAGAAGAAAGTGTTAACAAAGAACGTGCATGCAGAGGCTTTAGGGAAATCTAGGGGTTAAATCAGTCATTAGGTGTATTCCCATTCAGACTCCAGGGGAGGGGGTGATAGCCTGCAGTGAGTCAGCCCTCACCATGTGGACTGGCCGTGCTCTGAGACCAGCTTGCAGAAAATGGAGGAGCAGCTGCCTCTGATAACATCATCGTAAGACTGATATGAAGGGTGTTCCCTGGGTTTTATTTACTCTGAAGTGTGTAGGTGTGACTGACTTTTTGAGAACTTTAAATATGAGTCACCTGATTTTTAGTGTTTGTGTCTCAGGTGTGTGTTTTGGAAACTTTGAATTTGTTAAGAGTTAGAGGTGGCCAGTGGATTTTGTTCTTATGTCAAACCATGGGTAGCGGAAGAGTGCATGCAAGAGGAAGGTCAGCCATAGGTAGAGAGAAGGCTGGATGGCTGGGTGCCCTGGGGTTGCTGTTGGTTGTCCGTGCCGGTTGGGATAAGGGCCTTTCTCTGCCTGGCACCTGCTGTTCCTGTGGAACAGTCATGTTTCCTGGCTCTCCTTGGAATTTATACAGAAAAGGAGTCTGGCAGGCAAACGTGTTTGGCGAACATTTACTTTTGTGTGTGTGTGTGTGTGTGTGTGTGTGTGTGGTTCTGGACCAAGAGCCTTGCAAATTCGAAGTTTATCTTCTACCACTAAGCTCTGTCTCTAGCCTCAAATAAAAAAGTTAACAATAGGATTTTAACTCCCCCACCCCCACCTCTTGGGTGAGCACATGTCCCTTTCACCTGTCTGTCTTTCTCTAGTTACTGTGTGTTAGTGTTTTGCCTTCGTGCATATATGTGTAGCATGTGTTCTGCTTGGTGCCCTTGGAGGTCAGAAGAAAGCGTCAGATCCCTGGACGTGAAGCATTGTGAACCACTTTGTGGGTGCTGAGACCTGAACCCAGTTCTCTGCAAGAACAGCACATTCTCCTGACTGCTGAGCCATCAGCCCAGCTCCTGGCCTTTAACTGAGCATTTAATGTGCTGTATACCAGTGACTCGTGAGGAGGCACGTTTTGAAGAGGGAAGATGACCCTTTCTTCGGGTCCCTGTTTGAGAGTGTGCCACCCAGTCCCACAGGGAGTTAGGAGGCACATTAATGATGTGGCCTTGAGGGACCTGGAAGGGAAATGGGAATGAGAGGGTGCTTCCTGCCTGTCCTGTGATCTCCTGCCTGAGGCTGTGATTCTCCTCACCCAGTAATTGCTGAGCTTTTGAAGCAGGCCAGCCTCCTAGTCCCAGAACACAAACACCTCCTTACCCAGACAGGATTTAAAAGCTGATGTGGTTTTTGGGGTTGTTGTTGTCGTTTTTTGTTTGTTTTGTTTTTTTTTTTGTTTTGTTTTTTGTTTTTCGAGACAAGGTTTCTCTTTGTAGCTCTGGCTGTCCTGGAACTCACTCTGTAGACCAGGCTGACCTCGAACTCAGAAATCTGCCTGCCTCTGCCTCCCAAGTGTTGGGATTAAAGGCGTGTTGCACCACCGCCCGGCCAGAGCTGATGTGTTGATACTCTTTTTTTCCCCACATGAACTTGGGGCAAGACACTTCTTTAAGCATAGTCCTTATATGATGACATCACTCATTTCATGACAAAAAGCTCAAAGTCCTTTTGATACAGTTAGCTGTGACTCTTACAGCCCATGAAAAGATAATTCATTTTATGGGGGTGTTACTGCCGGGATAGGAAGTCAGGCCTGTGAATGCCTCTGGTGTCTGACAGGGTTGGAGCTGAATTGATGGTGGGCTGTCATGTGAGAGCGGGGCACTTGCCTTCAGCCCCTGGCCCTGAAGTTCACAACAGGGCTTTCTGTGGCCTCAGATTCACAGAGACCCTCTTGCCCAGGCGGGACTAAAGGCGTGCGCCACCACACCCGGCTAACTTTCTACCTTCTGTATGTTTGTTATATTTAAAGTTTGGAGCTGAGTTTCGTCGGTTTTCACTGGAGAGATCCAAACCTGGAAAGTTTGAGGAGTTTTATGGACTGCTGCAACATGTTCACAAGATCCCCAATGTTGACGTGCTGGTGGGGTACGCAGACATCCACGGGGACCTGCTGCCCATAAACAATGACGACAACTACCACAAGGCGGTTTCCACCGCCAATCCGCTGCTCAGGATTTTTATACAGAAGAAGGGTGAGTGCCTTCGTAGGACACGCACTTCGGGGGGTTGGAGGGCTTGTTAGTGACATAGTGCGCCTGCCTCTTGTTCAAGTCTTACACCAGATAGTGCAGGAAGCTAAAGCATCATGTCGCCGGCCTAATTAATGCCCAAGCTCTCTGAATGTATGGGAGAAAAATCTGTGTTTTTAACAACTGTCGCGACAGAGACAGTCTTGTGGGGGTTAGAGGACAGCTTGCAGGAGATTCGGCAGCAGGCACTGAGATCTGCAGGACCTTGCCACTGGCTTTCCTTCTTAAAGTTTTATTTTTAAATTGTGTGTGTGTGTATGTGTGTGTATATGAGTGTGAGTGTGTGAGAGAGTAGGGAATGTGTGTGAGTGCAAGTGTGTGTGTATGAGTATGTGTATGTGTATGAGAGAGAGAATGGGGGCGTCATGTGAAGGTGTGTGTGTGAGAGAGAGAGTGTGTGTGTGTTTAGTTCTGCACACATGTGTACGGTGTTCTCAGAAGCCTGAGGTGTCAGATCCCCTGGAACTGGTGTTGCAGGCATTTGTGAGTTGTCCTGTGGGTGCTGGGAATCAAATCTGTACACTCAGAAAGAACAAGCCAGTGCTCTTAACTGCTGGGCCATCTTGCCATCCTCGTCTTAAGTTTTTTTAAAAGTCAAAATGAGGATATTAGTCTTCATTGTTGGGCTGATGGGAGAGAGTGAATGTGGTGGCCTCGCACCTCAGAGTTGGCAGAAGCAGGCTGCTCACTCCCTGGTCTGTCCTCTCAGGAGGAGCTCTGCTGTCTGTGGCATCACTGGGCGAGCTGAGGAGGACAGCGCCTGCTCTGAGTGGTACTCAGCAAAATCTTGTCTCTTCTCCATTTTAGAATAGTTTATAATTCACAAAAGTAGTCTAAATATAAAGCTAGCTGGGAAATCAGAAGGGAAGGATGACTCTGGGTCTGGAAGTACTGTCTTTCGGAAAGTGTCTTGAGTCTTAAAACCTAAGACTGCCCTGCCCTGTGTGGGAGACAGAGATGGACGGAGATGCAGAGACTGCAGGTAGAGGACGGACAGACCCGTCCTGGTGGTTATTCCTCATTTCTCTTTGGTAATGAGAAGCTTTGAGAAGTCCACTTGCTTTAGCTTTGAGCTGAGTGTGATAAAGACCCTGCGGTTTTCCGACCAGCCAAGGCAGCGGCTTGAAGGGAAGGAGGGTGGGCATTAGCTACTCCCAGGACCCTCACATACCGAACCCTCACGTACCAGACCCTCACGTACCAGACCCTCACGTACCAGACCCTCACATACCGGACCCTGGTCTCTTTGGTTTTCTCGGTTTGGAGAAGCTGAAGTCCACCAGTCTCATGTGCTGCTGGGCTGCAGTCTGTTCTGAGCGAGTTAGTGCTAATGGTCACAAGTGCCCATAGGTGGGTGGTGGGCTCCACAGCAGACACATACACTGTGGGCAGAGACTGAGTGCAGGAGGCCCTGTGGTCTGCTCACAGAATCCGTGTGTGGAGAGCCAGTACAGGTGGCAGAGAGGAGCGACAGGAGGCTGGCTGACAGCGAGGGATACAGCAGAGCACAGCTGAGCCTTGAGCACCATAACCATATAGATCAGAATGCAGCAGAGGGCTACGGTTGCTGGGGAAAGACAAACTTGATCCTGGGCTTAACAGATTATCTCAGTAGTCTTCGGAAGTGACCACCCGTGTGGATTAGAAATGGTAGCCTGGCCGGGCAGTGGTGGCGCACGCCTTTAATCCCAGCACTTGGGAGGCAGAGGCAGGCGGATTTCTGAGTTCAAGGCCAGCCTGGTCTACAGAATGAGTTCCAGGACAGCCAGGGCTATACAGAGAAACCCTGTCTTGAAAAACAAAACAACAACAACAAAATTAAAAAAAAAAAAAGAAAAGAAAAGAAATGGTAACCTGGGGGTCTGGAGAGATGGCTCAGAGGTTAAGAGCACTGGGTGCTCTTCCAGAGGTCCTGAGTTCAATTTCCAGCAACCACATGGTGGCCCACAACCATCTGTAATGAGATCTGATGCCCTCTTACGGAGTGTCTGAAGACAGCTACAATGTACTTAACAAATAAAAACCTTTGGGCCAGAATGAGCAGGGCTGAAGGAAGGGGTTGGGGGAGGATAATTGAAAGAAAGAAAGAAAGAAAGAAAGAAAGGAAGGAAGGAAGGAAGGAAGGAAGGAAGGAAGGAAGGAAGGAAGGAAAGAAAGAGAGAGAAATGGTAGCCTGGGGTTGAGGGTGGGACTCTGGAAATCTGGACACTGGAAACATGACAGCTGTACTCAGTGGCTCACATCTGTGATCTCAGCCCAAGAGCCCAAGGTAGACAGAGTACTGTGAGTTTGAGGCTAGCCTGGTCTCTATAACAAGATCCTATTTCGGCTGGGCAGTGGTGGCGCATGCCTTTATTTTAATCCCAGCACTTGGGAGGCAGAGGCAGGCGGATTTCTGAGTTCGAGGCCAGCCTGGTCTACAGAGTGAGTTCCAGGACAGCCAGGGCTATACAGAGAAACCCTGTCTTAAAAAAACCTAAAAAAAAAACCAAAAGAACCCCACAAGATCCTATTTCAAAAAGACAGCAAAGCAACATAAAGGCTGAAAGAACAGCAGAACTGGAGAGCAGGTTACACCTGGGGATTGGTAGAGCATGACTCGTGGTTTGGGAGAGGAGGACAGGACGTTTGATGGGAGCTAACAGTTATATGTGTGTAGGTATTTTATTTTTATTTGTCTGTGGGGGAGAAAAGATGCATACTGTGACACACTTATGGAGGTACAAGGACAACAGGTGAATTAATTCCTTACACTGGGTCCTGGGAATGGGCAAAGACACAGAGAGAAGCAGGCTTGGCAGCAAACACCGTCACCAGTTGAGCCACGTTCCCTGGCCTTGTTTCATGTCCTTGAAACAGGGTCTTCAGCCCAGACTGGCCTGAAGCTTACATCTTTTCTCCTGCCCCACCCTCCCAAGTTCAGGGATTACACATGAACCATGATACTGGCTGAGAAGCATCTGAAGCCGCATCCCCCATGGTGTGTTGTTGGGGTCCTCCCTTGTCGAATCTCACGGTCTTGCTGCCAGTGTTACCTGAATTTCATTTCATTATGTTACAGCTGTTCACAGGGTTTGTCTTTTTTCATTTGCTTTTTGTATCTCATGCTGTAGCCCAAGGTTTCTTCTGACCTTGACCGGTGGCTTGGTCCTACTCCAGCCTTCTGAGTCCCGAGGTCCAGGCTGGTGCCACCACAGCCAGCTTTGTAGGCGTCAAGGTTTAGAAGCTTGTTACTATATGGACAAAGGCTCTCTCTGTGATAAAAGTAGAATGTCCAGTAACATGACCAGTCCTTAGAATTTGACGTAGAGAGCCAGCAAGGTGCTTTCCCTCAGCCGGGAAAGGTGACTGCCATCAAAGATGGTGACCTGAGTTCAGTCCCTGCGACACACAGGATAGAAGGAGAGAACCAAGCCCTCTGACCTCCATCTGTGTGCCATTACCCACAAGCCCCCCCCCCTCCACACACAACTAAATACAGAATTTTAAATGGTTTTATTGTTTTATTTGTTTTGTTTTTAAACTGGAATCTCATGTAGCCCTGGCTGTCCTGGAACTCACTGTAAACCAAGCTGGCCTCAGACTCAGAGATTCACTTTGTTGACAGTTATGTATGTGTTAGTGTGTACATTTTTTACAGTTATTTGTTTTGTGAGGGGAAGGGGTTTGTGTGTCATGGCACCATCTCCCAGGTGCTGAGACTAAGGCCTTGCACCACCACACCTGGCAGATTTTTAGTGTTTAAAAATAAGACTTTGGGGCTGGAGAGATGGCTCAGCAGATGAGGAATCTTGCTACCAAGCCTGACAGCCTGGGTTCTTCTTTCCCCAGGATACACGTGATAGAAGGAAAGAACTGATATCCGAAGTTCCCTCTCTTACCTCCTCAGTGTGCTGCGGCATGTGTGTACACACACAGATAAATACATGTAATAGAAACATGTGGTATGCGTATTTCTGTGTGTGTGTGTGTGTGTGTGTGTGCGCGCGCGTGCGCCCCTTGTAATCACAGCACTCGGGAGCTGGTGGAGGAGGATGGAGAAATAAGTGGTGGGTACCCTGGTCTACATGGTTCCAGGTCAACCTCAAGTGCATGTAAGACCTAGTGAGCTAGCTCGAGGTCACAGTGCACACCACCAAGACTGGTGACCTCAGTGTGATTCACCAGGGCCCAACAAGGTGGGAGAAGGAAACCAGCTCTCATAAGTTGTCTTCTGGCCTCAACACCACCTGCTCCATGGCACGCACTGACCCAAAGTGTATGCCTGACTGTCGAGTGCATACTAATCTGGAATGTGTTACGGCTTTAGTGAGAATTAGAAAGAGGCCATCCCATCAGCTGTTGCTTGAAACTTGGTGTGACGGCTTCCGCTCCAGCTAATAGAGTCCTGGTGTGGACAGATCAGCCAGACCTTCCAGCACCAAGCACCCCACGGCTCACACCCCGTCTGCTTCAGTGCCTCATTCTGCCCTGTAAACTAGGGGCTCCCTGTTCTCTGCCTCTGGCTTTGCCAGAGGGTCATCGTAGGACCTTCCTGACCAGTTTTCTTTGCAGTCCTGTCTTGCATGGGCCTAGGCTATCTGGTTTGTTTATGTGCTGTTGACCACCAGGTTCTAGCATCAAAGTCAGAGATAGCGCACACCATGTTAATTCAGTTTGAACATTTTCTTAAAGCAAAGAGGCTCGGGCAGAGGCTGGTTTGTTTGTTTGTTTGTTTGTTTGTTTTTTGCAGCCCTGGAGAAGCCAGCAGAGAGCCTGGTTGAGGCCAGATGCATCTCCCTGCAGAACCATAGCAGTCTGAGTCTGGTTTCTCATTTGTTGTCTTGTTTTTGTTTGGAAACAGAGTCTCACTGTACAGCTCTGGCTGGCCTGGAACTTGCTAACTTGCTACATAGACCAGGCTGGCCTGGAACTCAGAGACATGCCTAACCTCCACTTCCTGT